GCCCAAGAGTCAAGCATTACATATTCTACTTCTGTTCAACAGGGACCTAAACTTTAGAAAAAGGAATTTGTAGCCACACACAGAAGTCCTTCCATTGGTTCAAATTTTTAGCCTTTTATAACTTAAGCCAAGGAGGTCTGTCAGGCATCTGTTGCTTTGTTTCTAAAAGGCATTTTTAATCTAAAATCAATTCCTTCTTCAGTTCACTTCTTATGGTTCCTCAGGTGATTTTAAAATTACTTGAACTTGGGCCCTGCCTTTGCTCAACTCTGGGGATTCTACAACTTTCACGTACATTTCATACTCAGCACCTCACACACATTGAGGGCTTCCTTTTTATTGTTTTTAAGTAGTCACAGAACTTTTTAAAAAGGCATTTATGTATTTTTATGTATGCCTACAAGTAAGATTCCCTGGAGGTTTATACTTTGGAAAATATTTTCTGGCTTTCAGAGGGGGAGTGTATCTGCAAAGTCTTGCTTAAGAAAGAGAAAGCAATCAAACTTTATTTTAACACCAAAAAGAAGACAAAGCCAGAAAGTCGGTTTGAGTCCTGTCTCCAGGTGCAATGGTAGGAGTGCCAGGTCACCAAAGGTGAGACAGCACCCAACCATCATTATCTGGAAGCTCTTCAAAAAGCAGACCATGGACTCTTGGGTAAAACAGCACCTTGGAGTGAAGAGCTCAGGAGGAATAACACAGCCTCGGAAAACAGACAATCACCAAAACAAGCATGTAGAAACCTACAAAGGTGTTTTCTGACAGAGGTGTTAGATTCACGTGGCTTGAGATTTTACCTGATAAGCTCCAGAATTGGAGGAAAAAAGAATAATAGAAGGCTACAAAGGCAGTGGTCTGTTTTCCATGATCAAAGGAAACTTTCACCCATCACTAACTGCACACACAACAGCACAAAGTATCTGTGGCCATACGAAGAGAGCAGGCTGGATCCTGGTCTGTGCATTTAAACCATTTTCAGATGTGCTGCCTTCCAAGCAAGATGAACCGACATTTCAGATCCAATCCCACCGAGCCTAGATCACGGGTCACGGACCACACGCGGGCCTCTCGTGCTCAGACGCCGCCGTCGCTGTTCCGGGTGTGAGTGAGCTCAGTGGATGCTGTAAACACAGAAGTAGCTCAGCAGGTAAGGAGGGAAACCAGAAAAAATTCTGAAGGAGTGGTGTTAATTCCATGGCACTTGTTGCAGGGAAATTCTTTTAGACTTAATGTACGTTCAATGAACTCCAAGGTCTAAATCAAGCCTGCGTAAGGCAGACATTACCTTTCTGCCAAGACCGAAGGGTCCGAACTGCTGACCACTTGTAATAAACTCTGGGATGGAAAGGAAGCACAGTGTAGTACCTCCTACCTTCCTTTTTCTAGAAAACTTTATCATTTTAGAGATCCCTCTAAGTAGAATATTCTTCTGAATCCATCTTGGTCTCGATTCAATTTCAATTCTGCTGATGTCACCTGACCAGGCCAAGACCAGGTATGAGAAATGGAATTAAAACTCAGGGCAACTGTGGTTGCATGTTGCAACAAAAAAATACGTTTAAAGTTGGCCACTCATCTATATTTCCTGAAGTACTGTTTCTTGGAAAGCTTTACTTCTCTGATGCTGCAGTCCCTCTAAGCCTGGATGACACTCTGAAAGCAGTCTAATAAGGCCTTGGACAGAAACAACTTAAACACGACCCTTTGAGTTTTCATCAGTGTGGTGGTAAAGACCACAATGTCTGCACACACACTACCTATATCATACATAGGAGCAAGGAAAAAGTACGAAATGTGAACAAACTGCCCAGAGCCCCGTTCAAATTCACTAAGATTAGAACCTTCTCAAAATGCAAAGACAGATGATCATTGGTATTATTAAATTCAACAGTGGTTATGAACCAACGGCTGGATGGACACAGACCCCTACTGCCTTATACAACCTAAAAATTTGAAGCCGTGCTTTTAAAAAGTTCAAGAATGAATGGGAGGCATTTCCTGTTGTAAGTTACATAAAAATGAAGTTACATAAAGTGAAGCATCAAAGTCAACAAGAAGTCATTATTATTACTTTCATTTGGCTTCTGGGTGCCTCTTTATTCCAGGCACCACTGCATTTCACAGTAAAAAAACAAAGCCTCTCTAACACATTCACACACATTTAGAGCAAAATTTGATCCAAACACTCTAATGAATAAGTACCTACCAAGATGTGGTGACTATTATTGATGAGGTAACGGGAAAAATACTAACGTAACAGCCTGCATAGTTTTATGTGTCCTCTGAGTTTTCTCAACCAAGAGTTTTAATTTTTAAGTGAAAGCAAAACTTACATTTGCACAAAAGGTTTGCCCCTCTGGGGGCTAAAAACAGATCAGATAGCTTATAAACTATATTAAATTGGACCAAATGAAGATTTTAATTATTATAAGATAAAACTCGGTGCTTCAGGGTAACGTCACCTCCACAAATACTGAGCCAGTTCAGGTGCTGCTGATACAGTCCTGAAGAGTGACCTGTCTGGTTCCTGGGAACAGTGTCCGCAGTCCATGCCCCACGATTCAGGCCCCAGTGCAGAGCATGCTCAGCTCAGCTGCCCTGCCCCACTCCCCGGCACCACCCTCGCTCATGAACATGCAGACAGTCACTCTCGGCTGGGAACGCTGCCTCCCCCAGGCATCCCAAACCAAATCAAGGGCAGACACAGCTCAGCCATGCTTTTGCACTTGGTTTGAGGACATGCTTCTGTTTAAACTTACTCATGAAAAACCTTAGGCACTCTGCTGTTACTCATCCCCTGCCAGCAGATGAGTTACATGAATTTGGCAACAAAAGCACGCTCAAAAAAAACAGGGCACAGAAAGACCTGGATCCAGCTCACCGCCATCTCTGAACGCAGGTGAGTGCCTGAGTCATCTGGCCTTGGCTTCCTCTAAAAAAGCAGGTGGATCTGAGCCCTGTTCTGACTATAAAGTGTGACTCTATGGAACTGGAGAATAACGAACAGCCCCCGACTCTAGAGATCAACCAACCACAAGCAGCGCCGGCCCGCCGACCACGCACTGCCTCACCAGCCACCAGACCCGGTGTGTCCGCCACCTCAGGCGCCTGTCATGTTCCTGCAGAGCAAGGATTTCCTGGTGCCACTGCCTCCTCCAGTAGCAACTTCTCCAGCCTTTAAATAACTCACTTTTGGACCCAGTTCTTAATCTTCTATTAGATAATCCACTTAGAATAGCTTCAATATGTAAATCCAAACCGCTGTCAGTGAGACTATCGGAGGATGTTATGACTGGCCCAGAATTCTACCACGTGAGGAGCCTGCACAGGAAGAAGGGCGCGGCACAGACCCGTTACCACCGAAACAACAAACAACTACTATCTTTAAAAAAAAAAATTGAAAGCCAGCTTACTATTAGAGAGGCTTTTGATTTGAGATATAAAGAACAAATTCCTCTCCAAAATGAGTCTCCTCTGATACAAAAGTGTTTGTTTTCGGAGATGCAGTCTGCACCTTTCAACAGGTGTGCTCTGAAGTTCTCCATTGAAACACACTGCATCACAGATGAGGGGGAAAACTTAGTTAATTCTTATTATTAAAAGCTACTCTTCAGAAATCCCAGTCCAGCTTGGCTCTCAGGGCCCAAGTGTCCTGTGAGGTCATTCTCAGGGACCCGCAGGCCCGAGGCCCGAGCCGAGGAGCTGCCCGCGCACCTTGGCCGCATCGCCGGGCCGTCTGAGTGTGTCTCACAGACTCGTCTCCTCACACACTCGGACGGGGATGTTGTAGTGCCGATCATCCTCGGCGATCAGGGTCACCACTGGCCAGTCCCTGGGTGGGTCGGTGGGGTAGATGGTGAGGAACTCCTCAGTGCCGTACTTGGAGAGCCGGTACACCTGGATGGTGTGGCGCACCGCGTAGGCGAGAAGGAACATTTCAACCTGCAGGAGGAGCAAACAAGTGTGTGGAGGGATGCCCCACTGAAGGATGCAGCTCACCACCCGCTCCCTCCCTGACGTCCCAGGCAGCACAGAGCCTGGCAAAGCCACAGCCTTTTTTCCGCCCCGTGGGCCCAGCCCCACTCCTCTGTACATGGGTTGTTAGGTAACAAACACACCATCAGGAAGGGATCACATGTCGGATAAGGGACCTGCATCCGGCATACATAAAGAACTCTTACAAATCAACAACAAAAAAGCAAACAACCAGTTCAAAGATTGGGCAAAGGACATGTACAGAATAGATACTTCTCCAAAATGGATATGCAAATGCCAAGAAGCACATGAAAAGTTATCAGGGAAATGCAAATCAAACCCACAGTGAGACGCCCCTTCCCACCCACCCGAATGGCTAGAATCACAGACAGATAATCATGGGGAGTGACGGCTTCACAGGTACAAGGTTCTCTCTCAGGGCAATGAAACTGTTTCGGAACTTGACACAGGCGATGCACACGACACTGTACATGTACGGAAAGCCACTGAGCTGTACACTGTAAAATGGTTAATTTTGTGTTACATAAACTTCATCTCAATTCTTTTTTAAAAAGTGTGGTAAGGATGTGAAGAAATGGGACTCTGAAACCTTGCTGGTAGGGATGTAAAACAGTGCAGCTGCTTTAAAAAAGTTTGGTAGTCCCTCAAAATTTTAAACAAAGAATTACTATATGGCCCAGCAATTCCACTCCTAGGTCTATACCCAAAAGAAGCGAAAACACATGTCCACACAAAAATCCTGTACATGATTTCACAGCAGGATTATTCAGAATCGCTAACAGTGGCAACAACCCAAATGGATGAATAAAGTGTGACATATCCATACAATGGAATGTTATTTGTCAAAAAAAAAAAAGGAATGAAGTACTGACGCACGCTGTAACATGGGTGAATCTTGAAGACTTTAGGCTAAGTGAGAGAAGCCAGTCATGAAAGACCACTGAATAAGGTTCCATTTATGTGAAACACCCAGAATAGGCAAATCTTTAACAACAGAAAGCTGGAGAAGGAGGAATGAGTTCTAATGGGTATGGTTTCCTTTAGGGGTGACAAAGTGGTCTTTGTGATGGCTGCAAAACTCTGTAAACATACTAAAAACCTGGGTTACACACTTCATGAAACATATTAATTTCAATAAAGCTGTTATTTAAAAAATGTTACAGCAGACTTTGTGGGGACTCAGAAAGGACTAAGCTCAGTCTAAGATGCAAATCACGCTCTACCAGGCTTGGTCCTGCAAAGTATTTGCTATGGTTCAGGAGACCTAAGTAACCTATATTATGAATATAGATAATTTTTTAAAATAGTTGTCTTCAGTCCTGCCTGACCCAGCACTGACCATCATCTATCTGTGCTCTTTCCTATGTACCAGGGAAAGGCAAGCACCACGGACAGTCGGGCAAGCAGGAAGGCAGCCCCCTGGAAGGAGAGCCTTACTGCTGCTCTGTGGTTGGCTATCTCGCTTACGCTTTTCAGGGCAACATAATGAACACACCAAAGACAGACAGTGCAAGTGTGGTGAGTCAGCTGCTGGCCCACAGGACAGTACTCCACTGGGTCTCCGTAAAATTCCAACTTGGCATATCTGTAAAAGATCCAAGATCAGGCTGGGCTCTACTGGCTAAAGTGACTCCATTTCTATTTTTAGAGAATGCTACCTACACAGCTACAGCTGCCACGATTAAACAAGTCCCTTCAGATGACTCTTCCAAGTACTTGGCTTATTTGTAGCTTAACGGAGCCAGGGGTACTGACCCCATCCACCACATTGCAGAAGAAGGCCTAGGCTGAGATAACCATGCTGGTTATAGAACAGGTTCACAATTTTTTGGCACTCCTCACTTGAGTGTTGGAAAGATTAAGTGACTTGCTTCTAACAAACAGAATATGGTGTAAGTGATGGTGTGTGACTTCCAAGATTACATCGTGGGAGGCACTGTGGCTTCCTCCTTGTTCTCTTCTTGGATCACTTTCTGAGAGAAGTCAACCATCATGTTCTGAGGACTCTCAAGCAGCCCTATGGAAAGCCCCACATGGCAAGGAACTGAACCCTCCCACTAACCGTCAGCGAGGAACCAAGGCCTCCTACCAACAGCCAGGTGAGTGCACCATGTTGGAAGTGGCTCCTCCAGCCCCAGTCAAGCCCTCAGATGACTGCAGCCCTGAACAACATTCAACTGCAACCTTCTGAGACCCTGAGCCACAGCCACCTAGGAGCAAACTAAGCTGCTCCTGAACTTCTGACCCACAAAACCTGAGATAACGTTTGATGGCTGAAGCTGCTGTTCTGGGCTAATATACTCCCAAAGGTACAACTCACCTGTTCAAGGCCACCAGTGTGTCCCACCTGGTTTAGATGGTTCCTCAGCAGCTGTCCAGGGTCACTGGATGTATCCCGAGCAAAGAGAAGCACTGAGAAAAATGGAACTTCCTTTCCCTTCTCTTTGTCATCGTACAGTTCAATGGCTCTGTTTAGCATTAGAAATTTGACAGCTTCATAGAGGCAATACTCGTCTTCTTCATTCGTGAACAGTTCATCGCAAGCTATCTGTCTTGCTTCAGCAGTTCTCAGCTCAGCCAAGCCTGCCCACTATAATAAGAAAGTTGCATAATAACTACACTTTCGTCCTGTAAGTCCCTGGTAAAAGTCCATACTACGAGCACAAGTTTATTTTCAAAAGTAGATGACCAGGGGTCATGTACCAATGCTCAACATTTGAGCTTCCAGCTCAAACGATGGTACTCTTTAGACCACCCAAATTCCTTATTCAGCTTTCCCCTCATTAATCAGAAACAAAAGTATAATGCACTAAGGAGGAGCTCTGGGGCCATGGAATGGAAATTTCAACTCCCCTATCCTCCCAGGCAAAGAGATGGAACCAGTCGATCAGAAGTACTCACAGAAGAGCTAACGTGCATGTGTGAGGCTGTGAGGGGCAGCTAAAATCACTCCTCCCCTTAGCGGGCTTACAGCAGCTGTTACCACCCAGAAACACCAAGCCAACCTTCAAACGTGAAGATTGTGAAGATAGGCAAGGAAGATTATGGGCTCTCCTGAATATTTGTTTACTAAACTTACCCTCCTACCCTCTTAAAAATACATGTGAGTTTCAAAAGAATAAATCCACTCAGCAAATTCTTATTGACTCCTGATGAAGAATAAAGCAGAGTGTCAAGTATACAGCTAAGATGGGCAAACTCTTCAGGTGAGGAAGAAAACCCTACAAATACATGTGCTTTTAAGTTAAAGTGAATGAGAGTAAGAGATGCCAATATGAAACTAACCCTTACGAATAGCCACTAACTCCTGCTTCTCCCAAAAACTATTAACATTTTAAATTCAAGAGTAAATTTTAATGGTCATGAACGTGCCACAGGACTCTGCAATATTTGGTTGGGAAGCTAGAAGAGCTCGTATTTTCCACAAGTAGACCACGTTGGCAGCAAGAGACGGCTCCAGAGTCAGAGGGTCAGGATGGAACAAAGGTCTCACCAGTGAGCAGCTGGTGGCTTCCGCAGGGGCTTGATCTCCCCAGCTGTAAAGTGAGGACAACCACAGCAGAAACAGCTTGGTAGTTGGGAGAACTAAATTAACACATGAAACTTTCAGGGGACAGCCTGGCACAAACGAAGCATCAGTAATGGACTAACTGATACCCCTGAAACTTGTCAATATGACTTAGAACAAAGACTACATTTGTAAGATTTCCTTTAAAACAAAGTTAAACATTTCACTAAACATACCCTCTCCTCCGAGAGTACACGATGTTGACTTTTCCTCATTTTACCAAAGACTTCACAGGAAGAGTTTGTGTTCATTTAGAATTATTTTGCCTAACAACCAGCCAAGAGCATTTGGTAACCCATGAGGTGAGGACTGAGAAGCGGTCTGCTGGGGCAGTCAGGAGTGAGAGCCTCACACTTATCAGAGAAAGGAAACTACATGTTCCAAACCTTCTTCCTTAGTAATGTGAGGGACTCCTTAATTTTATCAACCAGGTTCTCGCTCTTCCCCTCAAATTTCAGTCCAAGTTTCCACTGCTTGATCCAGCTGTATTTACTCATGAGTTTTTCTGGTAACTAGAGTATCAAGAAACAGAGAGAAAAATGTTAACATTCCAAAACGTCCATCACACGATCCAAGCTGTAAGAAACCACAAAGCCTATAAAACCTACATTCGTTTCCAGAATTAATTCCTGCACATCTGCCTGCATTTAGGTTGTGGAGGACTTAAATGTGGAAGTCAGGAACTCGGAAAGCCCCACCCTGAGGAGGGCTGCTGGAGCGAAGGGGCGGTTTCGGCTGGGACACAAAGGCTCAGTGCCTCGCTGGGCTCCAGCCCTGACCAGGAACGCTCCCCAGCACTTGGCAGGGGTATGCCGCGGCAGCGTCCGCACCAGCTCTTCACGTAAAGCGCCCAGGCAGCTGCTGGGCTCACTGGCGGCCTCCCTACCGCCCTAATGTCTGACTCAGGAAGGTGCTTTGAGCCTGTGAGATGGTCCAAGACACAGTAAAAACCTGCTTCATTACTGATTAGGAAAATAAAACTTAATTTCTGATATTTACATATATCCTCAAAGTTTTGAAAGAAGCAACATGGTACCTAGTTTAACTGCCTAATCCATGTAGTAAAGTGAAAAATACAACCGAGAGAAAGAAGCCAGGGTGAAGGGAGCTGTGAAGGCCCAGCTCACTAAAGAACTAACAGTTGAACTGTCACTTTGCCATTTCCTTTTTTTCCTGGAGCGTTTGTTATTTTTTCCCCGATCATCAATAGATTATGAAGTCTGAAAGGCAAGCTGGGACATGACTCGATTGATGACAGCAGAGGAGTTCAGCCTCTCCCCACGTCCTGGCTGTGTCAGAAAATCCATGTCATTAGGCTGGGCACAGGCATGTCACTTCAGTGCTACAAAGTGCAGAAAGGAAGCAAAAGTTCACCTCCCAGTCAAAAGACCATTAGAAAATAATTAATTCCTACCTGGAACCTGAGCTTGCTTAACAGTTATACAGTTTTAAATGAGGCCATATGCTCCGCTCTCCTGGAATCTAAGACTCTGAAGACCCTTTCATGAACGGTAACTCAAGTTTTCACCTTCTCAATCTACAGCAATCATGTGAAACTAAGGTGGTTTCATCTCTACAAGAACCCAAAACCACAAAAGGAATGTAAATTCCGCTTTAGGTAGTTACCACAGTGATGGCGAACTACACTGACTCATTAGTAGGGGGAGGGGGCTGTGTTCTCATCTTACTATGATGGCAGCTGACCACCCACCCAAATGCCACCCAGTTTTGTGCCCACACTGTCCTGCATCTCAGCAATATGTGCGCAGTTTTGCTGTAAACCTTCAATCAGGTTCTCAGGTTTATCATCAGAACCTAAAATGCCCTCAAGTGGCAACAAGCTGAAATCACAATTGGGCACAAAGAAGTGCAATGAGCAGAAAAGACTGGCTACACGGATCTGAGTCGGGAAACGGGGTGGAGGGAAGCCCAGGAGACCACGTGAGCATCACGTGACACTGTGCAGGTACCCAAAAAGCAGGCACAGTACTCAACTGAATTACTCAGGAGACCCCCAAAGACCTAACGCACAGAGAGAAGCCCAAATAAAAGTCTGTCTCCTCAGTCCTTCCATGCCTGGGCCAAACTGTTGCTGAAGTAATTATGCAGGGTTATATACTTCTGAGAGATGTGGAGATCCTGAAGAAAGCCCAAAAACTGAGGTGTGAAAAAGAAACTATGAGGAAAGAATGGAGTTGAAATTCTTTACTCAGATGAAAACTGTGAATATAACTTTCAGTGCTTTCAGGGGGTCACAGCACATATAACACACACACATTCCCATCCTTTACACTATGCACAAAGGTGGGACGGCTGTTACATTAAGAGAGATGTGAGGAAAAAACAAGGTTTAAATGGGAAACAGTGATTGAAATATTTAATAAAGTAGGTAATTAGCTTAGGTGTAACTTCACTTGTGACTGAACTATAAAAACAGCCTGAAATTTCCTATAGCAAGTGTCCGTAATTGTTGAAATCAACACCATGATTAAAGGGATAGCAAATAACAAAAATGAATCATCCCCAAACTACCTCATAAAAGGAGTTTTGACATACAGTCCATCCTACTCCAGGCAAACACTGTCACAAGTCCCAACCGTCAGAGACACTCTAAAATTTAGCAAACTTGGAACCAAAGGACCCCTGCCCCAAAGGACACTACCAAGCCACATCTGAGACCAGGATCAGGGTCAGATGATCAGACTACAGTCAAACACCGAGACTGGGATCTGGACAGAAGCAGGAACAACACACAAGGAGCCCAGCACAACCTCAGGAGGGGAGGGGTGGCCCAACTGCCAGAAGGGCAGTGGGCAGAGCAAGGCCAGAGGGGCCAGCAGAAGCAGAAGGCACGGTCTGGGCTCTCCTCCACTGAACTCAGCCTAAGGGGAGGGTCTCGGTCTAGTGCTTCTGTTTTCCTTTAATGTCCTGAAACCAAGTGTGTTCTAGGGGAGACAGAGAGAGAGAGAGAGACAGTCAATGGCAAAATGCTACACAGAACCTCTCTCCAAACGTAAATGGAAGCAGATGCAGCCAGCTCCAGGGCATGTGGCTTCTCTGGGCTCACAGAACTCTGGATGAGAGGCACGCTGAGCTCAAGAGATGTTTAGTACAGCATGTGGCCTGCAAGCTGTAGGCCAAGGCTGGTTCTGGGTCTACAGATTCACATACAAACTTAGGTGTCCCAGGACCTGTCCAATTCCCAAAGTTGAAGAACTGGGTTATCACAGAGCCTGGGCAGCTCAGGAGACCTTAATAATGCTAAACCTAGATTCCCTCCAGCCTACTTGCTGTGAATACCCTTTCTGTGTTCCCACGGACACGAGGAAATACAACTGTCACTGGACACAAGTTAGCAGTCAGGAGAGACCCTCGGCATTTCAGAAAGACCAAGGATCAAGGTAAACTGAGACAGATTCATCGTCAGATGGTTATTGTGTTTATAATAGCAAGGCTACCCCAGTTTAAACCCAAACAATTTATAGCAAATTCTAACAGTAAACATGGTTTAATCAAAATGACAGGATACAAGTTATTCTGATGTAGGAGGAAGACGGGTAGGAAATGGGCAGAGATTTTCATACAAAAACTCCTGTAAGATTCTCTCGTTTTGTAAAAATACAGTTAAGTATCACTGGATCTGCTTGTCTTAAGCACGTGTGCTAATAGATATTAAGACATTTACTTATCACAGTCACACCACCAGCAGTATCTGCTGATGGAGAAACCGCTTCTGGGGGAGGTAGTCGGGGTACCCCACCACCATCAGACGCACTGCCAGCCCCTGTAGGCCTCACCACCCCTCTATATACTCGCACTTGGTTCCACCCCGACTTCTTTAGGTCATGCCGCACCACCCACTCACTCACTCAACAAGACCAATGTCAGTGAAGCCTTTCTGAAGGAAGACCGGGTGGAAGGCCCAGAATGAGAACAGGGATGGAACAGCATCCATAGGCGGGTGCACGGGACAACTGGTGGTTAAAACATAGACAGATCAAGGGCAACAACCAAGACTGGGCACCTTCCTGCACTGGCACCTCGAACAAGAAACATGTGGTACACCAGACACCTGCTCAAGACAAACGACAAAACAGACCCTGTCAAGAAAGAGCTCCAATCAATGGGAAAGTGGCTGGCGGCTGCAAAGTCAACACATGGACAAGCCTGGTTGAGTGAGAGCAGGAGAAGTTCAATAAACTTTCATACTGAACTCACAGGCAGGTATGACATGCTTTTTCTCTCCGACACAGGCCTCTTGGCATTCAACAAAGGTTAGATGACAAAGTAATACCACTGTGACCAACCAGTTAGGTTATGCTCCCAAGAGAAAGCCATTTGTTGGCTGATATATACAGAAAAGGGAAGAAATCAGAAAGAGCACTTGAGAATTTCCATATGACTCAGATTAAGTCAGGAAAGCCACCTCAAAGCCCCACCGCTCATCCACACGACAGACTCTAATGCTGATCAGAAACCAAGCACACTCTGCCGACCACTTGTAACATGGCAGATGGTCCTACCCAAACGTATCCTGTTAGCAAAGTAAAAGGAACACTGTGCTTTATTTCATGGGGCATATCTTACATGTTTAATTATGTAGAATGCTATTTGCACCAGAGTTTCTCAGAAAGTATAAAAAAATTCAAATTCATTACGTCAATTAAGTCCATAAATCTAAATAGCCCCTGAAAGTAAAAGGCTCAAAGGAAAATTCAGCCTAATTAAGGAGGATTTTATGTCACAATCTATAAATTAAGCTATGGTTATCAAACACAAGTTAAAGCAAAACACAGCGCAATCACCCATGTTTGCTTCCCTACCAGTGTCTCACAGTCACAGGAACGCTTTTGATTGAGCAACAATTCTGAAATATTTCAGTACTAACATGTATTATGATTTGCAAAGCTAAAAATAGCCTAATGTATCCATTTCTTTTGCCTCTGATAAAAAAAATAAGCTACAACAGAGAAATCTGCTTAAGATGACATGCATCTTTGGTTAGAAGAAAGCATCTTCCACGGACACCACCTAGACAGTTTAACACACAAGTGTGCTGATCTTATACCAGTTTATAAAATAGACAATCACCTGACAGACAGGCAGTATCCTCTACCCAATGGTCCTGGTTTTGCCCTTTGACGGCGTGTGAACCCGTCTACCTAACAGACCTCTAACCAGCTTAGCTGCCAGCCAGTATCCTCTACACATCTTTTTCATTGTAGGCAAATACCCCAGCTCCTTCAACTGTTCCCTAAGTGAGACAAATCATCTTACACACACTCCATCTGTACTGAGGGTACAGGCACATCCTCAGCCCTCAAGATGGAATCTGATCAGCTCAGTTCAAGACAGGCGGTCACTGCCTGCGTTTTAGAAGCATTCCTTTTAAAACAGGGTTTCGTAATAAGCACAGGAAAAGATACTCAACATCACTAATCATCAGGGAAATGCGCATCAAAACCACAAGTGAGGTATCACCTCATACGTCAGAATGGCTATCATCAAAAAGAACAAAAGTAACAAATGTTAGCGAGGATGCAGAGAAAAGTGAACCCTCGTACACTGTTGGTGGGAATGTACATTGGTGCAGCCACTGCAGAAAACAGTATGGAGGTTTCTCAAAAAACTAAAAACAGAACTACCATATGACCCGGCAATTCCAATCTTGGGTATATATTTAAGAAAAAAATAGAAACACTAACTCAAAAAGATACATGCTCCGCAATGTTCACAGCAGTGTTATTCACAATAGCCAAGATATGGAAGCAACCTAAGTGTCCATCAACAGATGACTGGATAAAGAAGATGTGGTGTATGTGTACACACACACACACACACACACATACATACATATACACGCAATGGAATATTACTCAGTCCTTTAAAAAAGAACAAAATTTTGCCACTTGCAGCAACATGGATGGACTTGGAAAGCATTACACTAAGTGAAATAAGTCAGAAGAGAAAGACAAATACTGTATATCATTTACATGTGGAATCTAAAAAGTACATGCTAGTGAATATAACACAAAGGAAGCAGACTCACAGCTACAGAGAACAAACCGGTGGTGACCAGTGGGGACAGGGAAGGGGAAGGGCAATATAGGGCAATAAAATAAGCTACAGGGACACACTGCACATCTCAGGGAGTAGAGCCAATATTTTATAATAACTGTAAATGGAGTACAACCTTTAACAATTGTGAATCACTATATTATAGACCTGTAACTTATATAACATTGTGTATCAACTGCACGTCAACTGAAAAACAAAAAGGAAAAAAACAGGGCTCCGTTATCCCTGCGGCCATCACACACCACGTGGGCTCATGTTTAGCTTGCAATCAATTAAAACCCTGACATTATTTTTCCCTTTTAAGCTGCCAGTACGGCAGACCTCCCAGAGCTAGCTTTTTGGGTTTTCTTTTTTAATATATGCACAAAACTTCTAATTTTCTTCCAATTAATGTCATATTGTGAGTTCTGCCCACTCACGCCTGCCCACCAAACTCCTTGAGGTTATTCTACACCTAACCTATTACATGACCTCAGCTGATATGTGTCACTGATACATGAGTTCCTGGGCTGCCACTACCACACTGCAGATTTAAATTTAAAACACTACAGAGGGTCAGCGTGAGACACAGCTCCTGACCCTCACCTCCCAGGAAGCCTTCCTCAGGCTGACATTAACATCTCTCCTCTCTGGTGTTGCTCCCCGTCACCTACCAAGCCAGTACGCAGAGGGTGCTGGGTCCTTGAACTGGAGCCAAGACTACAGAAATGTGCCTTCAAAAACTCCAGCAAGTTCTCAGATAGCACAATATCCAGCCCACATGGCACAGACTCCAACACTGAAGTCATACTGCCCCTAAGTGCTTTGTACAGACCCTAAACACCGGCTCTCCAATTCTGCTGAAGTGTTATATACACTTTATCATCTTCCTCTTCTGGGAAATAGCAATCATTTTTGGTCGCTTCACTATGCAAATTATCCCTGCCCCACAAAACTGAATAAACCCTCATGTTGATCACCCTGCAGGCAGTGCTAGCACATGGCACATGGGGCAGAGAAGTCTTTCTCACAAAAACGACTGGAAACATTGCAGACTCAAACCTGCAGCGGCAGCGTACCAGCGTGAGCTCCGGGTCCTGCAGCCAGGAGGGCAGCTCCGCCGGCTGGCTCATGGCCTGGAACAGCGTGGCCCTCAGCGCACAGTAATTATCTCCACGGACTCGCCTTATGGAGGTGAATTTCTGAGACACCTCCTCGTAGCCCTGGGCGAAAGCATCAAAGAATTCAAAATGGTCGTTACTGACTTCAGACAGTGTGGAGAGTTTTATTCCTGTAGAAACAATGTGCCCCCGATCCCTGGAAGAACGGAAACAAGACTGGCTGAGTCTTCCACATTAAGATATTCTAATTCCTTTTTTTAAATTAATCACACAAAATTAACAAATGTTAATACTGTCAAAATACCGACATATGTAGCATATGCAACACACTAGAACATATTAATAACATATCAAGTATTAATAAAATGCTAGTCACCCCCAAAGTTGGAGTTATACGTCCCTTTCTAAGCAACTGTTAACACTTATTTATTAACAACCAACATTCTGAAGGCTTTAATCTGTGTTTAAATTGACCCCTAACTCTTTAATGAAGAGATAAGAAAGACAAGAGAGATGAACCCAGCTTATTTCTCCATATTAAAAATAATACCCCAAATTCTAAATTTCCATGGTATATGTAAGAAAACCTACATGCTAGGGAGGTATAGCCTGGAAAAACCTGCTAGACTTTTTTAAAAAGTAGACTTAAGTGTCATTCTTGTTCAGCCTGGAAGTGAAACAAGGAACTGAAAATGCTCAGTGGCATGCTCAGTCACTCAAATACAGCCATCCAAACGGACCATTTTGAAGCACATCCCAATCCCAGTGACCTGGTCCACAGGCAGCCCAGATGATCGGAGTTTTCCGCTGGACACTGCTCAGACACGGGCAGCAGCCTCGCGGCTTCCCCACCTCACTCACCCCCCGCCTGGCAGTCCTTTCGCTTGTCCTGCTTTTCCTCCACGGTCACTGGAAACCCTGCTCCCCACTGACACTTTCACAAAAAGAGTGTCACCCTCATCATGGGTGGGCACCATGCAACAGTCACCCTGCGTCCAACTACTGGACCCTCATTATCAGTTGCTTTCAAGGTTTAAGTCACAGGATGATGCTAAAAGTTGATATAAAAGTACTTCTTTTCAACAATAAAATTTGGAGAGCCGCATTTTTATTTAGTGGTCCAACCACTGCAATATAATGGCCCGTCAAGCAGACTCGTGCATTCTAATATGCGCCTCTTCCCTATGGCAAAACCCCTAGTTACCCCAAATACGCACAATGGCTAATTCAAAAGAACTGCACCTTTCAAAATGCATAAACTACTCATGCTATTTCAGAGGTGACTCAAACTTCTAAAATTAAATTTGGGTTTATACCACTTACTTCCAAAAGAATATCCAAAACAAAAAATAACTGAGATCCAAGCTGTTCTTGGGGCCAGAAATGCTCTTAATTCCTGCCAGGGGTCCTGACAGGATCCTTTTCTAACTGATGTGCCTTTTTATTTGGTCACTGAAGAGTCCAACTAAAATCACAGAAGAATCATCTCAGCATGAATTCCAAAATATGGAATATTTGGAAAACTTAGCAGACATCTTCATTTGTAGACCTTAAGGTGCCAACTCTTAGAACAGATCCTTTAAAGAGACTGAGATCATAAAATAAAATTGCAGGCCAGTGACAGCATTTCTGGGGAAGATGAGAAAATACAGTTTAGATACCTGGCCTCTGGTTATCCACTTTGATACAAAGCTGGAGGTTTTTAGAAAATCTGTCAGTGGCTGATATGCATATTCAGCAGATGGCCTCAGAAATCTAAATGTCCTCAACCTCTGGCAGGACCGGAGAGTCCCGGGTATTTCTTGACTGAGTTCTCTAACAAATGCCTGAGACATGAAGAGTCTACAGTCCAGACATGCAGGTAGCAGGGGTGACACTTGCTCTCAGAGCTTCCAAAGTGGCAGCTACGTCCTGAGTAAAGTCAGCCCATCTCAGGGCAGGCATGGGCAGCTGAGGTGCCTGCTAAAAGGTGTACAACGTTTTCTACAAAATGAAGTTCCGAGGACAAGAACAAATGTTTTCAAACAGCTAAAAATTTTAAATCCTAAACAGTACAGTTTTAAACAAACAAAAAAAATTAAAAAGATATTTCTATCAAATATGACAGGTCAATATCTCTAATATGCCAGAAGTGTATTCAAACTCACACTGTAAATAATCCCAAGAGAAAAATGAGTAAAGACTATAACCTAGAAGTTACAAGAGGTGGCAGAAGTGTTAGGTTGAAACTGCCATTTCTGTAGCTCAGGAAAAGTCAAATACAGTCAATTCTCGAACAACTCAGGGGTTAGGGGTGCTGGCCCCCAACTCCACCAAAAATCTACGTATAACTTGACCACAGGCCCTCCAAGTCCATGGTTCCACATCTGCATACAGTGGAGTACTGCTACATATTTAGTGAAAAAAACCCATGTTCACGTGGGCCTGCGCGGTTCAGACCCATGTTGTTCAAGGGTCAGCTGCAGCAGCAGTTTCACCCTACAAAGGAACGCTGGATTCAGGATACGTCTGACAGGAAACCAACAGGGTGTGCTGCTCAGATGGCCGCGCAGTACAAGTGGGTCAAGGGGTCTGACTTGAGCAATGACCCAGCCTGGTCACAGGAACAAGAGAACCATGTCATGGGAATCCCTGACGTCCCACAGCCTTGGAGGGACAACTTTAGGGTCACCAATCTATGCAATGGGACTGAAAGAGGGCAGACCCTGGGATGCCCTAAATAAAGGAAGCAGTTCCAGATCCCTCTGCTTAGGCTGTGGAGGACTGAAGGACATGAATACAAACCCGGGTGAGGACAGCAGACGTATGACATCTGAGGCTTTTACCTTACCAGGTCAGAAAGGCATTACCAAATGACCCCTGGAGGACCACCAATGGCTCACCCAATTCTGAACAGGACAGAGTTATTTAAGAGTTTTTCAAAGAAATCAAGTTACTGATGATGATTCTGTATTAATACTGTTATTCCAAATAAATCCCTTATCTTTGGAGCCTGTTTCCTCATCTCTAATATTAGAACACCAATATTTATACAGTGTAATAGCAGCTGTCATCACCAATGTCTAAAAATAAAAAAGGACGTATTAAATATTTATGATAGACTACTGGAAAGACTCGAAATACAGGCACCCAGGCATCGTACCTTTTTCATACATGTTGCTTTTTGCGTATTTCCCCTCCACTCTTTTTTGCAGTAGTCCATGATGTCCATTTCAGGAGCGACACTTAATCTGGGTTCTGGTAAAGAATCAAAAAAAGTGGATGGGGGAGGGGGAAATAATGAAACCAAAGCATAAGCAGAATAATGGCACTGCTTTACTTGAAGGTTACTTCCTCTCTCATTTCATTCCCCAAAAAAAGCCAGGATCCCACCACTGCCTACCCTCTGGTCCAGACCTCCATCACCTCCTGGATAACCACAGAGGTCGCCCAATGGGGCTCCCCGTCACCACATCCTACAGACCACTCTCCACACAGCAGCCAGAGCGATGCACTTAAAACATAAGTCAGACGTTACCCATCAGTGCTGGGCTCTAGGGCCTGCCACCACACTCGGATTCCTCTCCCTCACTACCTACAAGGGCCCCCTGCCCCGGCGCCCCACTGCCTCTCAGGCCTCAGCTCCCACCACTCCTCACGCTGACGGCTTTGGGCCTACCTGCAAGGTACTTGCCCCTCACTCCCTGAGCTCTCTGCTCACCTCTGACACTGACACCCGATATCAAAACATCACACACACACCTTCACTCTATTCCCCTTACACGGTTTTGTTTTTCTTCTTGGCACTGATCGATGCCTGTCATATTTCTCATTCTGTACCCCGCCTCCCCCCACACCCTTACACACACACACACACACAGCAAAACATGAGCTCCTTGAGGGCAGGGGCTTGTTTTGTTTCTTGGCTGTGCCCTCAGCACCTACAATCACACTGACCCAGGTATCCATGAATACTGTTCCAATTAGACATGCAGCAGTCTGAGCTGTGAGAAGACACATCTAATGATCTGTCATTAGTTCTTTGCATCCATTATACAAAGAGATAACACCTCTATTTAAAAGGTGTATTTAATTATCTTTATTTACTTATATCCAGTTATATCCTGTCCTGATCCCAAAAGGCTGTAAGTTGTTGATAATCAGCCAGAAATTAATGCAGCGCTCAACGTGAGTTGGACAGACTTTGACTCTAACAACACATCCTCCAAAATTAAAAATACAACTTATGATCAAACAAATGATATGGTAAAAAAAAATTGGCCTTTAGGTTTTCCTTGTTTAACACAAAGTTGGGTTTTGACTTTGTGGTATACGCATATGCACGCACATGCATACAACCGTGTGTGTGTTTTAGGAAGAAAGAGATGTAAATTCTCAGGCATGTCTTGACTTCCTTTTTAAAATATTGAAGAAGTAAATGTTAGCAAAGAAATTAGGATATAAACACACAAGTTCCTTACAACATATTTACTTAGGAGGAAGTTGTACCTAAAATTAAAATGTTATATTCGGCTCAACTCAACAAATACTTACTGTATGTCTAATGTGTGCCAAGCTTTGAGCTAGGACCAGGGGCTGCGAAGACGATAAAGCCCCAGATTCTGCCCTGAATGGGGTATGGACTACTGAAGAGAAAGGGACTCCAGGCATCACCACCGAGGGTGATGGACGCGGGGACGGCTGACTGACGGGCCCATGAGGAGCCCTGAGACCTTCCTGCACTTCAGGTTAATCAATTATTTTTTAAACACAAAATGTAAGAACGGCCTATCTTTAAAACACTCATAGTAAATGCCTTCATAAGGAAAATAAATCTTTTATACAAAGGGGAAAATAACACATATACAGATACCATAAATACATTTATCTGTGGTGTAAGTCAGGATTGGCTTAAAGGTGAAACAGACCCCTGAAGCAAAATACATGGAAACCACAAATACCAACACCGCACAGCCAACCTTCAAATAAAGACCAGCCATCGTTGAAAGTCAGGAAACACTTTCTGAGTGTCTTCTTGGTGGAGGGAAGAGTTCCCTTTTATCTGCCTTTCCACTTACCTCCCCACAACGCCCGAGTCCAGGACATGTACTGGGCCAGTCTCTCCCACCAGGCAGAGCACATCGCTGGCTCAGCGAGAGCCTCCTGGGAAGCAAGCCCAGCCTTCCCGCTCCCCTCACCGCAGCCCTCTCTCCTGTGCACACCGGGACAAGACCTGGCCTCTGGGCAGGGCAAAGCAGGCCCCACCAGCTCAGGACCGAGGAGGCCGGGGGCCCCGCCAGGCAAAGAGGCCACGCCACAGGCTGCAATCCTATGCTGACTCAGACGCCTGTGTGAGGCAGTCAGGGTGGGGAAACGGGTACTTGCACAGCTGCCACCATCAAAAGTGTACTTTTATTCCCATCCCCCTGTGGTTCTTCAGGAGGACGACTCCAGCAGCCACTATGTGCCGGCCTCCAGGCCAGCAGCTGGAGGCGCGGGACAGGCAGTGCTTGACCTCAAGTGGCTTAAAGTATACCACAGGTCCCTTCTTTGTTAAACTGCATACAACACAGGCTCTGATTACTAACACTTCTAATGGCCCCAAAACCTTAAAAACAAACAAACAAGCAAACAAAAGGGGGGGAAGCTGAAAATCACTGTGGTAACTAGAAGCTGAAATAACCAAGAGGTGTGTGCCTTAACCACCACGTGGTGACAAAGACAAGGATTCAGACCCTCGGAGGGTGGGGAGTTAAAACTGAACCTCTGCAGAACACACAGACTCTCCACCAAGAGGCTCGGGCAAGAATCACAGGCTCTTCCCGTAATGGGCCACAGAGTAAATAATGTTGGCTTCGAGAACTGTAAGGTTGGTCACAGCTACTCAACTTTACCATGTGTGAATATCACCATGGGCAATATGCAAACTAAAAGGTTCCAACAACATTTTATTTACAGAAACAGGTGGCATGTCAAATTCTGCCGGAAAGCCATAGTCCACTGATTTCTCAACGAGGTGAAAAAAAACCTTCTTCACTAACAAAGAGGGAGCATAAGAAAACTTTATGCCTTGGCCTGGGCTCTGACCTGGGGAGAGAGGAAGTCTCCCCTAAGAATTCATACCCACAGGCCGGCTCTCATGCAGGAACAGGGTGTGAATTCACAACAGCTGCAAGGCCCTGGAAACCCAAGCTTAGAAATGAATAGAAAGTGGCCCTGGGTGCCTGGCAGAAACAAGGCCAAATTCTCTCACACTCAAGCCAGGTTGCACAAACTCTGCACGGATACACAGAAGCTGGGGTTACAATCCAAACTTTGAAGAAACAAGAAATAAGCAAAAATAGCAATTGGCATAATTAGACCCGCCAGGATTTTCAGACAGTGGAATTATCAGGCCCAAGGAGTATGTTTAGAAAGCCTTAAGAAATAAAAGGAATAAAAACCTAAGCAAAGAGCAATACATTATCCAAAAAAAAAGAAGACTAGGCAAATATGGAGGGAAAATAACTTTTCAAAAAAACAAAGGAAAAATTTCTGAAGGAACTGTCCAGAATGCAACAGAGACTAAAAATCAGAAAATACATATGAAAGGGTGTGTAACTGAGGGCCCTGGATGACTGAATGAGAGCTAGCAAACACCTTATTAGAGCTCTACAAGGAGTAAATAGAATAGGAAAAAGGCAACATTCAGAAAAATAATGGCTGAGACTTGTCCTGAATTGATGAAAATAGGCATTCTCAGATTCAAAAAGTAAAAAAAAAATCCCAAGTAAAATGTTAAAATAAAAATTTTTTAAAAGCCATACTTAGAGACATCAAGGAGAAACCGCAGGACACCAGACAACGAGGAGGAGGAAAGACAGATGACCTTACTTACAGATTAAGGATCAGACTGACTGCAGCATTTTCAACTACAAGGAAACCAGAAGACAATGAATACAATCTTCAAACAAATTAGAGAAAACAACTACTCTTCTGCGGTTATTCCAGAAAGAAAGTGAAATAAAGACATTTTCTAACAGACAGAGCTCCCCCCCCGCCCCGAGGCCCGTCCACAGGATGTTGTCTCAGGAAGGGTGGGGAGCCCAGAAGGACCGAGGCGCAGTGTAAAGGGACGCACTGGAGCCTCGGACCAAGGCTGGGCGTGAGCCGGCCGCTGAAAGGCCAGAGCCCTGCCTCGGGCCTCCCTGGTGGACAGGAGAGGACCCCGCCGGGAGCCTGCGGCGTGCGACAGAGCGGGAGGCCCCGCAAAGGCGGCAGGAAGGAGCAATGGCTGAGGAAGCAATTTCTCCTCAGGAACATGACTCAGGACCGAGTCCGAGGGGAAGTGTGTGCAGCTGCAGCGGGGGAAGCGAGCCTCCTCTGAAGGCCACGGAGGACCATGGCGGCATGGCCCGGACACACTCAGCTGGACCACCACAAAGGACATCTCCCGGGGCTGCCGCGGTGAAGAGCTCCTCCAGCTCCTTGTGAGCAAGACTCAAAAATTACTATCAAAAACCCCACTCTGTACCTTGCATTCCTAATTATATGTAAAATATTTTGTTAACCATAAAATAAACAGGAGCTGGTCCTTAAAACAAACCAGTCGAACACACACGTTACACGGGTGATGTGCAAGAACACGCCACCTGTGGATCGTCTATGGCGTGTCCCATGTTGGAGCATCCTCCCTCGGCTCCCGCACGAGGCTGGCAGGGAAGTGAGGAGGCCCTCCACACACAGTCCTGCTGCCGGCAGTGCCCACAGCAGGGGCGGTCAGGAGGGGTGGCTCCCTGGAGCTGCAATGGGTCAACGGGTCCCGGTAGGGGTGAGCAGAGCAGGCATGACTGAACAGAAACATGCGCACAGAATCATGAAATGATAAGAGAATTAGTGCGGTCAATCTCATGACTGTTCTTTCTGTAAGTTAATCAAATTCACATGGCCATCTGCACGCAAAGACCCAGAGAGCCAGCTTCTCAATAAGGCCTTCCACTAGAATTGAAAAACGCACTTCAAACCCAAACTGTCCAAGAATATAAGGAAATCAAGAACTGTGAGAGAGTGCTGTCAAGAGATTAACCAAATCCTTACAGGTGCAAAAATGACTTGAATGTCAAGAACACACAGGGAACATACTTGCATTAAAATCTGAAAACCTTAGGAAACAGTATTTCCCAAACATATGTCAGTAAGCGAATAATCTGATGCAGGTAAGACCACATGCATAAGACCACTTCCGAGGAAGTACATCTCAGTATTTTATGAAAATGGATATATTGATTTAACTGCATTTTCTACTATAAACGGTAAGAACTCTATACATAAAACAATTCCAAACATACCTGATGACCCTCTTTCATGTATAAGTAATTCTTTCTCCTTTTCTATTTCATCCGCGTCACGATACATGTCCTCTTCGCTGAAATCACACCAAATTAGACATTTCAAAAACTTGTTGCACTGACATTTTCCCTCTTATCACAATATGCAGCTGCCTAAAAAATGTGTAAGACATGTAAAGTTTAACTTTTTCACATTACATGATGACAATCTGATAAAATATGGGTCTTTTATCTTAGACTCATGTTTCTAGCATTCTAATTCAGAGGTTTTTTACTTTATATGAGACATTTTATGCCACTTCACTGGCTACAAGGCTCTGAAACCATTTTAATTTAACATCTATTAATGTCTCAACCACATAGGTAAGCACCTAAGCACATGTCTTATCAGTGAAGCTGTGCCATGATTCTTCAAGCTCCAAGAATGGAGATAGTGCTAATAAAAGTATTTGTATAGGCGTGCAGGCCAATGACCAACTTTAGTGTGTCACAGGTAAATTTTACAATAGCTACTCCAAAAATAAGGACAGGGGAACATCAATTATTACAAGTCCCCAAACCTACAAACCTCCCCACGGCTCCGCCTCCTCCCCCGGGACCCCTACAAGCAAGCAGCCACCTGCCTTCCGTGAGCACATTCCCGCTGCCCCACATACCTCCACAGGGCCTTACACGACGGCTCCCTAAAGAGCCTCCAGGCTCATTTCGTGACCTAACAAGGACCTACAGAGTACTAGAAAGGGAGAAAACCCCACTGGGCGCTGGACAAGGATGAAAAGCAGGACTCCTGAGTTTTAAGATGCTTCCTTTTCAAGAATACACCACAACATGACAATGATGAGAAACAGAAATGCCAACTCTATCTTTGCTGAGACCACAAGATATGTGAAAGCCCAAACAGTCCAGAAGCGGAAGGAGGGGCAGTGAGTGATGGAGGGGCACCTGCTGGAAGGGAAGACCAGTGGACCCTGCAGGGTCCCAGAAAGCCTCAGGAACTCGGGATGCCAAGAACTTCAGAGGGTACAGGGGACACCCAGAGCTGAAAACAAGGAAACTGGCTGACGCACACGTAAGGAGAGATCCGACCCCCAATTCCCTATACTCCCTCCCCATGCCAGCACACCCCCAAACCTCACCCAGGATGGAAGGCTCCAGGCACAACGGAACCTGAAAGGATGAGTTAATAAGTTAATACAAAATAAGAAATTAAGTGAATGACTCAAGATACTCCTGTCCTCAATTCCCTTAGCACCCCAGCGCCTAGTGCACAGCTTCGCACAGCTGGGGAGGGGAAGGGGTGAGAGGGAGCAAGAGACAGACGAAGAAGGGGCGCCGAGAGAGGCAGGCTGAGGTGCGGAGTCTAACGCATCCCAGGCCCTCCACCCTCTGAAACCCTTCAAAGGCTCCCAAATTAGCAGGGACGTCTAAATCTGGACCTAACCCGCCACGCTAGCCTGTATTCTGTGATTCAGATATACACACCCGCACTTCAGTCCAAACACTTGCCAACACTAACCTGTGCTTTTACACCTGTGACTGGCTCCATCTATGCCCTCTGCATGGGTGGCTCACCGCCCACCGCACCAGGGCACGTGCTGTGTGGGTGAGCTCACTGTCGAGTGCCAAGGCTGGAGTCGGAGTGTCAGGGCTCAACCACTCCTCATTCCAGCCCTCATCACCCATATGTATGACCATGGAACTAAAGTGACTATACTTCTCAGTGCCTAAATTTAATCACCTGTAAAAAGGACAGTACTCACCTCAAGAGACTCCTGTGAAAATAGACACACAAATTACTTAGCACTCAAAAAAGTTAGCTAGTCTTAATAACGCTCATCCTATATCCATGCGTGCAGAGTAGTGATGCAAAATTCGCCCAAAGATCATTTCTTACTCCCTTTTTTCAAAATCTCTAAATAAAGGTGATGTATTTTTTTTCAAGTTGTGGGGTTGAGGGGCCGTATTAGGGAAAAGGTACTTTCCATGTGCTCTAACCCCAGTGAGATTTCAAGTAAAAGGTGTGATGTCAACCATGGAGCCTGTGCCAGGGTTAAAAGCAAACAGAAACCAGATTCACAGGAACTATACATCAAACGCCTAAAATAAAAAGTGACTAAATGTGTTAGTTCTTCTTTTAATAGTTTGATGATATCTTTTGACCTCCTTCCTAGCTTTATCAAGTAGGAGAGAAATTCTGATCCTGTAAAACAGGCATTTAAGTGAATTATTTTCCTATCATTATCAGAAGCATGTCTTTGTGGAAGCCACTTCCCTAATCTTGGCCTCAGTTTTCTCATCTTCAAAATGAGAAGACCGGACTAGATCTAAATAACCTGCAAGGTTCCTCTTCCAATTCTTAGTTCTAACAGACTATGAATCTATTTGTCCATAAACATGTTACTTCAAGCAAATTCTGTGGCTGTGGGCATGCGTCTCTGCCTCCACTCTTGTCCTCCTTCTGTCTAATCCACAAAATAGCCAAAGTGCAACGGCAACACCAGTGCCCAAGAAGAGGCTCTCTGAACAAGCATCTCTGTGTACAGCCGCAAACACGAATTCCCAGAGACCAACAGGAGAGGAATAAAACGAAGTCAACATAAGAAGCCAAAGGGAAGACAGAGCAGAAAGGAAGATTACTGGAAATAAAAAAAGTAGTGATTGAAGACATACAAACAAATTAAAGCAGAAACTGATGAATGGGAGGCCCAGAGTATATTCAAATTACTTCAGCCACAACTAGATTCCATTCTGATCCCATGCACAAATGTTTGCTTACTTGTTTGTCCATGGCCATTCACCAAGGACATGTAACCAAGGACATCTGCTAACTTGCCAGGGCCACCAGGGAAACTGTAATATGGCCTTTAAAGGCCACTTTGAAAATGATCCTAAAGCTGTGTTTCCTTGGAGAGAGGATAAGTTATAGGTTCAAGCAATAAAATTCAATTGATATGGTCAGAAGAGTAGACATTTAACAGCCAAAATGAAACACATCCAACATAAGGACAATCAGCTGGAAAGCCAGAAAGGTCTGTGAAAACAAGAAAAATTTTAAAAACCCTTTATTTAAGAAAATACTTCACTGAATAAATTTTTGCTTTAACTTTTTTAAGTAGCAAAATATTAAAACTGAAACAACAAGAGAACAAAATTAGATTCACAGTTGGGAATCTAAAATAGCTAGAGGTTTAAATTTTTGTTATGGGAAGGGAAGAGGGCAAAACAATGAAAGGAAAGGGGCTATTACATGATAAGATAAACTCCTCCATGCTGGCCAGTTTCAGAAACTTGGCAATCTTTTGTGTGTGTCAAGTTGGGGTGGGAGTGAAGAGTGACCAGCATTTGGCACAAAAGAGGCCACTGAAGTACACAGGCTCAAATGATCACAATAGCAAAGTTTCCTTCTAGAAAACATACAGATCACTAGAAAAGTAGTGTAGAAAAGTAAGACAAAGTCTTAAATGTGCCCTGATTTCTTGGGGACCATGGCATGTGAGTCATACTCAATTACACAGTCAAATTTTAAAACCAAAATGCTAATAATTCCTACTTAGAAAATTACTGGTTTAGCATCATGTTATTTTAAAGTGTGTATTTTCAAACTCTCATTTTCTTAGAGATGAAATACTTTATTCTTAATATTAAGACAATACACATCATTGAGTAAGTTACATGACCTTGCATACTAAATTATAACCTTCCACTTTCTGTTCAAAGACTTGCATAACAGATGTTTGAAAACTTAATTTAAAAATGCTTACTACATATAGACAAAATTATACTATTTCCCAAAACAAAAGTATAAGCTAAAAACACAGAGCTCCATGAAGCAGAAGACACTCCTGTGAAGTCAATTTTTCAATTTCTGATACAAGCATATACATGATATGAAAATAGTCAATTCTAACGTATATGCAAAGCTAACAAGACAGCACTTTAATCACTCACCGTTATGAACATTTGCGCCAAGTTCCCCTTAGTTATCTGAAAAAGCTAAATTGAGTATGACTTTGTTCAGCTCTCTGGACTTGAATGCTGCAGTTCATGCTTAACTTGGCCTGTCCTAGAAGACTAATGGCCCAGGCAGTGCTGGTGAGACAGTGTCAACCACTGTGACACCAATGCACCATCCCACACAGGCACAGGAAAAGTAAAGACCACTCAACCCAGCCTGTCTTCACCTCTTAGCGGTTGTATAGATGAGTGAACAACACATCAAATGCAGGAAAGTACCGGCACGCAGGCCAAGATTCCACCTCCTTCCTACAAGTGGACTTTCCACGACTGGCTCATTGCTACTCCACGTGACACCCTCCACAATGAGGTTTCTCAGAGACATCCCAGCCCTGAAGCAGGTTCTACCCTCAGGTGGGGGAAAGGGCAGGAGGGTGTAGCTGTTACCCCACCAAAAATAGCCTTCTAAGGCTGCTAAGGTGTGAGATGGGTGGGAAAACAAATCTGCACAATAGTACAAATAGCAACACCTGAGAACAATGGTTTAACAAGCTGCTGTTCACAGCTCTTTGGAGAATCTACAGCTTTCATCAGAATCTCAGTCCAGAAAAACATAAATATACATATAATTCTTTCTTCAATTTCAGAGGGGTACAAAGACACATGTTCCTTTCTACACACAGCAAGCCTGTGGACCCCAGATTCAAGCCCTGTCCCACTGACAGGCAGATAAAGAAGGACCACGGATGGAGCAGCCTCATTGCTCAATTTCCTAAGGATGTCAAGCCTGGCCACCAACCATGTCCCAGGACCATTCTGATCCTCAAGGACTGTAGTATTGGCTTAGTTAAGAGCAAGAAGTAGACACAGCATAAGTTGCAATTGTACAGGTCAAGTGAGCAGGGGACAGAGTATAGGAGACCTGCTGACAGCAGGAGTTCCCCAGAAAGTCAACAAAATGTGGTCTGGCCCAATACTTCTTCAAAAGGAACCCTAAGTCATCTTGTGAGCCATCCATATGGCTTGTCCAAGGAATGCCAGCCAACCACAGCTCTCAAGTGAACTAAGAAAAAAAGGAAAGAAAGAAAAGGAAGGAAAGAGATCTAGAAACTAGCTTATCCATATGGTTTTTAAGTCTTTTTTCTCCACTATTTCCCTTCCAAAACACAGTGATCTCAGTCAAAAGGAATCAGTATTCTACAGAGCTGCCCAGGAAATGAGCCATCCCTTCCCGTACCCATCACTGCACCCCTCAAAGAGTCACAGCCTGAGTGAGCAATGGCTGCAGAAGTTGGGCTATGATTTGTATTCATAATTGCTATCTACTGAATGTATTTAAATGCCTTTGCAAGTTATCTCAAAATATCTGCATCTTACAGTGTTTCATATTTCCAGGTGCAAAGATTTTACTCAATTCGTGTGCTGGGCAAACCCAATTCTCTGGGTGGGAAGAAGGGACTGGCTCCAATGACAGAAAAACATAAGGTTTAAAAACTATTTGACGACTTAATTCAGGCACTACTTTATTTATTTAAATCTACACTCAACTATTAGGCTGCATACATCACCATGTAAAAGCTGGTGTGCACACATCATATTGCAAACTATATAATAAGCAATGTTTATGTAATGCAGCATGGCTGCTCCAGCCCTTGAGAAAATATCACAGAGCAAGAAGCAACCCCACTGCCCACATATTAAGCAAGAAAGCCCAAAACGTAAGATGTTGACGTTCAGAAGTTGACATTTGAAGTTATTGTCACCTCTTTCCCTTACTCCCCCTTGCTCTCTTATGAGACTTAAAAGAGAATGAGATGGCCAAAGACAACAAAAATAGGAAGAAAAAGCAACTACGCTATGAAATAAAACAGTAAATTGGAACATCTATTCCAGGAAAAAAAAAAAAAAAGTAAAGTCGGCCGTCATCAGAAGTCACATCCCTCTGCCTAGTGTTGCTGAGAAGTCAGAGAGAAATAGTGGGGAGGTTCCTACCCAGGCATCAGGGAACCTGGCCCTGAAGCCTACTCCCTGGACAAGCTGCACCTATCAAATCTGCAAGTCGTTTTCCTAATGTGTAAAATGACAAACCTAGGCCGGGGTTTTTTAGATTCCTTTCAGCTCTAAGCCTATAATTCTATTGACAGTCAGTGGCCACTGTGCCACAAAACCTTCCCATCAGGAAAGAGTGTTCCTTTCGCACCATGACCCATTTCCCCAGGTGCTCAGGCTCTGGGAACCACACACAGCAGAAAAACTTGCCAAATAACTATGCACATGTTGGGCACTGTGGTTCTGATTTCCAAGTTTCCACATCTCCTGGGAGGCATGAAACTGCTGAGGCTGAGAAGCAGCATCTGAAGGCCAGGGCCACTAGGTGGGGGCCCAGCTCAGACCACCAGGGCATGAGCAAGGTAGCAGCAGCCAGCCTGGCAGCAGCAGTTAAAAACTAGCCTGGGCTGGGAAGGGGTAAAGGCACTTTACCCGCTGCAGAGGCTGAGGCAGGTCTCAAACCCAGGGAGCAAAACAGCAGCCACAGGTCACATCAGCTCACACGTGGGCCTACACAGTGGTTTCAATTTAAAAATAAAATAAAATGCTACTGTTTAAAAACCAGAACATTTTAGAATATCTGAACTCTTTAAATACAGAAAATCCAGCAACTAGAGGCCAGAACTTGGTAGACCCAGCCCGAACGGACCCAGCTCTCCAGGAATCCACAGACTGCACCTACCCAGCTTCACTCACTTCAGTTACGTGCCTAGCTCCTGAGGGCAGGAGTTTAAGACTTTCTGCTCTAAATCTTTCCCAGGGGCCATTAACCGTGTGGGTAACACTATCTCAAGGGGTTTGGGTGCTCTGTAAATGAGAATGTCAAAGCCCACAGTAAAGAAGCATATAAGCGAGAATTATTACAATATCTGCAATAACAGTCCCCACTCCTAGGACCCCTTTTTAGGAAATGGGGAGAAAAAGTGGAGTTTCTGGTCAATTAAGATATCTGTCAAACTGGTTATTCGAGTGCTTTTGTCACTTTTGGAATTCCAAAGGCATTTATATATGACTAGAACTTGAAAGTGCAGAGAAGTTTCAGCCTTCAAGTTTATATTCTGCTTCCGTCCCTTTCCCCAGATCCTTGCAGAAACTCTAAACTTTCCTGATTTAAGCCACCTTCTTTACAGTTCAATAAATCATTGATCTAACCAACACTGCCTTTCCGATTTAAAAACAAAGAGGGTTGGAGATATCTAGTTAAGCCGCTAACTGGCAAAACAGAACAGGGTCAGACTCCGTCCAAAGTCTGTCCAACAGGTGGGACACTCATCAGGCGGCAACTTGCCTTCCAAGAACAAACGTGTCGCGTGGCTCAGCTTTCCTGTGCCTATGACACTGACAACCTTACTTTCTTCCCGCACCAGGTTGGAGGAAAGATCTAATAGGAATGAGTTTTCAAACAATCTGCTTCTAGAGTTTCTTCCCCAAGTTTCTGGAGTTTTCTTTAACGTTAAAGCTATGGAGATGTCAAAATAGCGGGTGGGGTAGAGGCAATGGATAAGCAGAATTTCAGGATGGGCCTTCCGGGAAAACTTCTGTACGGGGACACTGGACGAGTGTCTTCAGATTCCTCTCTGTCGCTAACCTTACTTAGAAGCCGAGGTGGGAAGGGCCCCACGCTGCTACACCCCCGCCGGCCCCACGCCCCCCCCAGCCTTTCTGAGG